CATCTTCTCTCCTCTTCTTCCCTCTTTTCCTCTCTTTTTTCTCCCCTCCTGTCTCCAGGTTACCTTCCCAGGTTTTAAGACCATCTAAGTCCCAACCCTCCCACGAGTTCATCTGTTTTGTATTCATGAAAACTGCATTTCAAAATTTCTATAGACTAAGTGAGATGAAATAGAGTCTCTGATCATTTCAATGACTCCTTGGGATAAAGTTGTTTATAGGCCCTAGGTTCCAAGATGACTTGAGAGTTGGAGAATTTGTAAGTTCCAGAACAGACGTGGAAAACCTTAGGCATAACCTACAGCTGCCTGAACTTTTTGGTGAAATTATGGCATCACAAAAATGCCAGGAGTGAGGATACTGAGTGTGGAATTTACAAAGACGGATTAGAAGGGGGGGTTACCAAGAGCAAAATTCCTGAGCCCATTAAAGGAAAGGGCAGTGCAGCCAACTACAGTTCTGTCCTGTATTAGGACCCCTGTAACAAAAGATCCCACGTGACATTAGTTTAAATAAGGTAGAAGCTTATTTCCAGGGCTGACATGGGGGCCCCTCAAGGTTGGGCCCTCACCTCTTTGTGCCCTTCATCTGCTCACCACATGGTACGTTAGCACCACGTTCCAGCCTGGGAGAAGGGGGAAATAGGGGCCACAGAAGGAACACCATTTCCCTTCGAGGCACAATTCAGAAGTGGCACATACCTGTTCTGCTTATGTGCTATTGCTCAGGCCATTCTAGCTGCAAGGGAGTTTGGGAGGTATATCTATTTTTGGAGATCAAATGCCCAGCTAAAATTTGGGTGTTCGATTACTAAAAGAAGAGGGGAAATGGACACGGGAGCATGACTGCTATTGTCTGCCTCCCCTCCCCAACTGAGAGTCTTAGAAAGGACCCTGGCAGTGGCTGCCACTTGGAGGTCTGCTGGGGAAAGTGTATGTCCCTAGAGCACATGCCAGTGTAGAAAGAAAAGAAAAAAATAAGAAAATTTTTTAAAAAGACAAAAAGAAAAACAAAAAAGAAAAGTCTTAAGGTAGCTTTTGATTCCTGTTTGGGTGGATAGAAGAGTTACCAACAGCTGTGCAGAGTGTTTCTCATTTTATAAATTCTTTTAAAGTTATAAGTTTATAGTTCCCTGTAAACAGTTTTACAAATTTTATAAATATATAAATTCTTTATAAAGTGTTCTAACATTGTAAGCTCTTCTTTGCTTTCAGAAATTGGTTAAACTGCTGCTCTGTGGCACCGAGTTGGTGACAAATGTGCAGGTGGCTACAGACATCAGAGAAATCCACAGGAGGGTTGAAGAGGAGGAAGTGAAGCGCCAGAGGTGAGGGGCCCCTCTCGGCGCCCGTGGGCGTGTGGGTCTCCCCTCGGGTGTCTCAGCTCTCCCCAGTCGCTGGAAGGGGGCTTTGTCTCACAGTCTGGTCAGACCTTCTTCCCTCCCCCTGGCTTTCCTCCCTTCCCCCTCCCTCTCTCAAGCACTACAGTCCTGATAATGCGCCCAGCTGCGTGGATGCGGGGGGTGAGCACAGCCTCTGGTTTAATGTCTAGTCCAGGTAGACGTGGACCCTCCCGGTCGTGATTCGTGTTGAAATGAAGGTTGTGTGTAAGGATTTGTGGACACAGAGATGAGGCGGCCTCTGAGTCTCCCTGGAGAGCTTATAGAGGAACCTCCCCACGCGAAGTGACATCCGAGCTGCGCTGTAAAGGACGAGTGGGAGTTTGAGGAGCGGCCCTTTAGGCAGAGGGGACAGCTCGTGCAGGGGCACAGGTGGCTTGATGTGCTCGGGAGCGATGGTGGGGGGGTTCAGGCAGGGCCTTGGGGATGGAGAGAGGTGAGGCTGAGAAGGTGCGCTGCGCTGCCCGAGAGAGTGGCCGTGCCACACACCCCTTGCTGTTATGGACAACGTAGCGGGTGTTAAAGAAGAGCAGAGACTCCACATTTGCAGCACAGAGGGTGAGGCGGATCGTGGGCACCCAGGGCAGACCTTCAGCTCAGCCCAGTCCTGGGCGGGAGGCCCGCGCACCCATCTTCCCAGGCCTCGGGCTGCCCAGCGGTCTGCAATTCAATGAGAAGAGCAACCGCTGGACCATTCTAGCCCAGCTCAGCACATTCATACACGGTACGATTTTAACAGCAGCATTTTTAGCTGTTCAGCGTAAGTAGTTTCCACACCGGCAACTTTACCACCTTTATTAGCAGATAGTTGGTGACTTTATTCTTGTAACTTCCCACTGTCCGTCATGGGCTGTGCCAGGAACTGAGTTGGCTAATATCACCCCAGCAGGGTCAGCTTCTGAAAGGCCTGAGTGCCAGGCCAAGGAGATAGCCAGTGAGGAAAAATGGATGGATTTAAGTGGCGGAGTTACAAGATAAACGTGGATTTTAAAAAGATGGCCTGATGTCTGTTTCTCATTTTTTTTTTGAAGAAGAAGAAATCTAACTGAAATGTAAGAGGTACTGTGTGTCCTAGTTTGGAAGGTGGAAGAAGAAAGGGGATCACAAGATGATTAAGTTGTGATTCCTGTCGAGGGGGTGTGCACACTTGTTTGGGGACAGCCTCGTAGAAGTGCAGGGGCCGCTCTGGCACACACCCTAGGCCCTGTACTGGAGTTACACAGCGTAACTGGAGTTACACGGTACTTAACTACCGTGTGTCACCACCTCTCAGAAGCACTCTCGGTCCATATGCACGTGTGTATAGCTTTACTGTTTTGGTTATGTGTCACTTTGTCTCTTTGTTCTCAGTTGCTTATGGTCCAAGCATTAAACTAGAAGGAGACGTCTCAGAGTCGGGTTTGGTTTTGGGTGGCTGTACCTGGAGGCGGCGCTTGGCCCCCGGGCCCTGCCTGATAGATTCCGGAGGCCCTGCCCGCTCTGTGGGAAGGCAGCCTCGGAAGCTGCGCCCCCATGGCCTGCATGCTTGTGTCTGCAGGCTTGAAAAACTGGAAAACGAAGTCAAGACCAGCCAGGACAAATTCGATGAAATCACCTCCAAGTGGGAGGAAGGCAAACAGAAGAAAATTCCCCAGGACCTGTGGGAGATGCTCAACACCCAGCAGGTGCACTGTGCTGGGCTGATAGAAGACAAGAACAAGCTGATCAACGAGTTGCAGCAGGCAAGAGGCCCCGCCATTCCAGGCCGGCCAGGTGGGACCCGGCCGGGGTGGGGGCGTCAGCGGGGTTATTGGTGTGCGTCTCCTGAATGGAATAATGTGGAGGCCTCGCTGCAGGCCTCAGAATGCTGCGCAGCTCAGGCAATCAGCCTTTCACCAAAGAAAACGCTCCGTAGTGAGTTTAGAATGATTGGCTTCTAATAGAAACCGGTACTTTCATCGCAAATTTCAGATTTTATGTGTGTAGCTGAGGAATGGAACTTAGTCTGCAGTGGGTATGCTCCCCTGTTGGAGCCTGGACAGCAATTGCTCAGCTGGCACAGCCGGGCTTTCTGGGAGTCGCAGGGACATCGCAGCAAGCAGGGATGGGCGCTCTGATCCTGGGCTGCCCCTACAGAGCTGTGCCCTGTGCTGAGCCTGCTCTGCACTGTCCGCCCTGGCCTCCTCCCGGGCCTCCCCTGGGCCTCCTCCTGGCCTCCTCAGACTCCCATGAAACCCGTCTCCTTGACCAGCTGTAATTCTCAGCTGTCACATCTGTGCTGACCTCATCTGTGCTGAGAGGGGTCCAGGGGCGAGTGCTTCCGTCTCATGTGTGTCCGACCTTGGACATGCTCTCCTCTAGGAGTTAAAAACAAAGGACGACCAGTACGTGAAGGATTTGAAGAAACAGTCTGATGACATCTGCCTGCTCCTGGAGAGAATGGAGGAACAGGTGAAGAGCGTAATGAAAACCTTCCGCCAGGAGCTCAACCACATCGAGGTGCCGGTGTGAGGGGCCTGCTTTCTGCCGGGGGGT